TCTAAGCGTCTAAATATCGATTTTTTTCCCTTATGCAATTTCATATGATCTATTCAATTTCCAATTACCTTTACTTTTTTATTTAAACAATTACAACAACTAATTTCAGCTACCGGATTCATTGACTTCAATGGATTTCTGATATGTTATGGAAAGAAACTTCAAGAAGATCAAGATGAAAGAGATCTTAGAGATGCTTTCCGAGTATTGGATAAAAATAAACGTGGTGAGATCGATGTTGAAGATTTAAGGTAAGTGTTCTTATTATGTTTTCTTTTAAATCATTCCCCGTTATATCTCTGAAGTTGATGGCTATTGGTTTAAACAGAGAGGTAGGCCCCCCCCTTAGTCGCATTGGAATAGATGAATAATTCTACACAGTCTCATTCGAAACCCTTCATTGCTGATTGCTTCCAAACATCTAATATCACTTCAGAGTGCATTGTGATGGCAAGTCTCCTAGCTCGGCGATCGCACCTGTTGTATGCCATTTCTTCGGCAGAAATCCTGAAATATTTGCCATGTGAACTGACTGCCACTGTTAGATACAATGGTCTCTTGAACTCTAGAACCAAATAATTAACTGTATTCACCGGCCTTGCGAAGTCTAAATGTAGTCGGTACCATGGCTGTGCTGTCAGCCATGGCTTCGTTTGTTCTTATGGTAGGTTTTTGACAGTGGCTTGACATGATGGTTAGCAAATTCTGTTATGTCAGCATCCATACATCGCCAGTAAGTATGACTTCCGGTGATAGACTTCATGCGCGCAATTCCTGGGTGCCCATTACGAAGTTGTTTCAACATGGTTTTAAGCAAGATGTTTGGTATCACTCCTCATCCACCAAACATTAGGCAGTCATTAACGATACTGAGACCATGACACCGGCGGAGTAATTCCCAGAGGTCATGTTTTGAGAGCTGCTGGCCTTATTCGCTCTGCTGTAATCGGCAGCTGCTCAACAAATTCTAGGTGCAACTTTCTGTCTCTAAGGTCGAAATAACTGTTTCATCGTTTGAGGAAGGATAGTCGCCTATTAGTCTTGAGAGGGCATCTACATGCCCAAAATCTCGCCTGCAGCGATATTTTATATTGAAGTCATATCCCAGTAATGTCACTGCCCACCGATGTAGTTTGTTCGCTGAGTGAACTGGAATACCATTCTCCGAACCAAATACAGAAAGAAGAGGCATGTGGACTGTCAACAAGCTTAATCTCCCGCTGTATAGCATCTTCTGAAGCCTTCGGGTCGCGTTGACTAAGGCAAGATCCTCCTTTTCTGTTTATGGGTAACGCCTTTCTGTTGTAAAGACTGAGCCTGAGATGTGACTGACAGCCTTTTGACTTCCATAAGGATATTCATGCAATAGAACGACACCACCTGCTGTTACTGAAGCATCTGCTGAGTCTATGATGGGTAGTTTAGGATTTGAAGATACTCTTTAATCGCCGAATGGCTTCATCTCACTCTTTGAACCAGACCCAAGGATGATCTTCATGTAACAAGTGGTCCAATAGTTCACTGACTGTATGCAGTGTTGATAGAAAAGTTGAATAATGACTAATCATATCCAGGAAAGAACAAAGCGTTGGTGCATCTTTCCGTACAGGTACCTGTTGAATAGCTTTTATGTTCTCGGAGTCAGGTCATTGTCCATCAGCGTCAATTACAAACACCAAACACTTAACAGTCTGTAGGCTGAATAGGAATTTTTCTGCTTTCAAACGTAATCCGTTATCAGCCGTTTTCTGGAGTACAACTCGTATTCTCTCTCCTAATTCCTTACAGGAAGCTGAGACGATCAGTATATCGTCCAAATATGTAACAACACCTCGAATACCAGCTAAGATAGTGTCCATTAGTTGCTGGAAGATGGCTGGGGTGGTCTTAACACCTAACGGTAGCCTGTTGAATAGAAATAATCCTTAACGGGTGTTGATCGTTGACAACTGACGGCACTCCTCTTGAGCTTCGACCTGAAGGTATCTGTCAGCCAAATCAATTCTGGTGAAAACTCTATCACCATTCAGAGTACTGAACAAATCATCTGGAATGGACAGTGGATAATGATGGTCTTCTAACACTGCATTTAGTCCTGTCGAGGAATCAGCACAAATATGTCTCATCGGCACCCACCCCATTTGACTTCAAACCTAGCAACTTCAGGTTGCAAGGCGAACAAGTTCATACACCGTCAAGCCGCTGGTAACCAACCTGATGGCCCCTGAATTCCAGCTTCTACCAATTCACGATATTGCGTGACTGGCACTATTCAATTTCATTGCTGGCGAGTACTTGCCCTCACCTTGTTACCAGGAGGTCCTGGGTTCGAACCCTGGCGGTGGGTGCGTACTGATGATGAGTGCCAAAATAGGACGAAACAGTTGGTTATCTAGCACTCATTGCTGGTTTCCCATGGTTCTGTAATTGAAGTCAGCTCATGATGAAATCCCGAAACCAATCAAATCCCTTCAAACCAACACTAGAAAATAATTTTCTCACAATCAGCAAATATTGGTTAGAATCATATAATGAAGGACAAAGTTACTGATCAGAGTGGATATATGTGGGTAAAGACTCAACCTAAAATAAGTCAGATTTTAGTAAACAAGCACCAAACTGTCGATCTTTCTTATTTAAATACATTCATAATACTGATGACTTTTTCCCCTTGTGGAACTGATACAATCATTCAAGAGCTTCCTATCTCACTATGTATGGTGTCTGCTGAACAACAAAATGGCTGTTTAGCTTCTACTCAAAAGATCTCAATAATAATGTATTTGAAGTGGACAATCTTTAAAGAACTAGATTTACTCTATTTGATCCCATTATTTTGGTTATATTCTTTAGACTACTCATCAGTAGCCTCTAGTAAACGGATAAAACATTGGTCTACATTATTTGATTTTTAGATGGATTTTGAAAGGTCTTGGAGACGACCTTACTGAAGAGGAAATCGATGATATGATCAGAGATACTGATACTGATGGGTCTGGCTTCGTCGACTTCGATGGTAAGTTTTCTAGTGGATAGAGGGATTTTTTTATGTCTTGCTGAATACATTATGAATATAACCAGCAGTGATCCTAAAAATGGACTTGATAAATATCAGAATTCGTTCCTCAATGACCTATGATAATATTTTTCTGAGAGTTGATTGAAATTTTCGCCTCCTTGTGACCTTCTGAACAACATGTTTACCTTCGTGATCACAAAGTTCAGGTGAAGGGGTCAGCTAAGCATAAGCCATCTTTTTGTTGGTTTGTGTGCGACGTCAATTCCTAAAGGTTTGACGAGTCTTGCAGTGATTTCTGATATATCCTTTATATATGGCAGGGCGACTTTCTTTGTGCTTTCCTTGGGTCTTTTGGTTTGATAGGTTGGCTTGGGGGTATATGTCTTTTGATGAAATTTCGTGGATATCCACTTTTTTGGAAGACTTCCATGAGATATCTCTATTCAATTTTCCTTAAGGTGGGAGTACTGCACTGAGTCCTGGCCCTCTTCTCTCTGTTCGAAAGTGGGAAGATAAGCCATCTTTACTGTTCAGAAATCACAAAAATTTCTTTGTCCACTTTATGCATAAGCATTATAACAAAAATAATAATAACAATAATCTGCCTTATTCCAAAAACAGTACTCATAATAAAGCATGGGATTCTCAGCATTTGTCGCAATAGTGCGTCGGTGGCACAGTAGTTAGGACTCTCGCCGACCATGCACATGGTCCGGGGTTCGATCCCCTGCCGGCGCACACCCGATATCTATGGTCGGCGTGCAAAATTTGGGCTACCGATATCCATGCTGAAAATTCCATACTTGTACTGAAAATACGGTGTGGAATCAAGCTGTAAATCAAAATCGAAAAAAATCTAACTTACTCAAAATATAAATAAAACCAACCACAGGAACATTTCCACACTTCACTAAGAATAATGCCAAAAATGTGCAAAGTACAAAATGAGAATAATAACCACAATAATTGTAATCATAATAATAACAGTGAGTTTGTTTCAAACAGTATTGTCGATACAGTATGGAAATTTTAGCATGTTATAGAGTATTGAATCTAATGTTCTCTTGATAAAGTATGGTGAGGGGAAAGACAAAAGATAACAATTATTGCAGAGCTTAAATGATGTTTACGCTTATGAAAATATAAACAAAACAATAAACTGAAAGGATTATAAATATAAGAAGAATAATGACAGTGAAGCTTAATGGTATAAGAATGGAGAGAAATTGTTTATTTACGAGTGGAACGAAGGTTAATTAGTTAGTGCCAGATACTCCTTCCATCATATAAAATATGTGCCAGATATGAAATCGTGGAATTTTTATACTTAGACGTGCGTGCATAAAGTCTTTTGAAATGACTTCTTGTTCTACCTGAGGAGATGCAGCAAGGTGAAAGCTGCGGGTAAAGTGGATGCTCACAGTCTGACTAAATCCCTTTAGCGAATTTGTTGCATGAGATCAAGTGCCAATTATCAATGACCATGTCAACGATGGATATGACCCAATGGGACACCATTACTCGCCCTAATGACTGACAGTTTTCAGTGTTCTACGAAGTATGAGACAGTCTTTTTAAAGCAACCCAGCAAAGAATAAGGATGAACAATAAAGAAGAATAACTAAGATACAAGAGTTGACAAACTGTAATGCAAGGAGGAGGAGGGGTTAAGTTATGCCCTAGTGCCTTAACTCAAGCTTTCTTCATTTATAATCTATTCGACCAATGTGATTGAAAAAATATGAGCTAACATAACTAAATTTCAATGGGTGAAATAATCTTTGGAAGAGAACATATTCTCCCATCATTTCAATACTTTAAAAAAGGTTATTCATTTTAAGCTAAGAGTATTATCTTCTGCTAATTTATTTTTGAACAGAGTATCCCCTCTGTTTGTCAGTAGTTTCTTCAGGACTTATCATTGTTGATAATAGGCAGCCAGCCTTGTCTTACTCCTGTATTCACTTCAAACCCAGGCTTCACTGAGTTTTCCCATTGTGCATAATATGCATAAATATAATATTTAAATGAATATTAGATAAGTTAAGGAAAGAAATATGAAATTTATGAATTTACGCGTTTCCACAGCAGACCAGGTTGGGTAGCAATAGTGGCTGGACCTGTTCATTTTCCTCACAGAACTCTGGTTGTTTCAAACCAAAGTGCCTTTATATATAACATTTTATTTTGAAAAATCACACAGTGTTATACAGTAATATTAACTGATGCGACCACGTTTCGAGCACAAACTATTGCCACTCATAATCATATCAAGTCACTCACACAACTTTCTTGCTTCATTTGTATACATGTGTGGAATTGATGATTAGACATTTCAATAAAAATCAATATAGGATAGTGTACATTCAGAAATAATAATAATATCAGTGTTATCAATCAAGTACAATCAGATGGGAATTAAGACGAGTGTTTTTATAGTCAAAATAAGTAACTTGTTAGAATGTTATAATTCATGTGAATTGAAATAGAATTTTAGGATTTTTTATTATCCTCCTCTGATTTGACTGACTGGTGGTAATAGTATCTTCCATGCATATCTCTGGTATTTGCATTGAGTCATTTCTGTTGCATGTGTTGAGTGTAGACTCAATGAACCAGGATTCAGTAAGTAATCAACCTCTCTCGCTCTCCACCTACCTATATTACATTTTAGAATTTGGACTCTTTTCCACCCACCCTATTGTGTGATTGTGTGTTAATGCATGCAGTGCGATTGCTGAGTTTTTTTCTAAATTATTCACCTTCGTGGGATCAATCATTCCAACCTTAGCCACTAAATTCCTATGTTCTCATAATCTCACTACCCCTGATCTACTAGTTTGACCTATGTACTTCACCTCATTCAGAGCTATTGCAGGGCATTTTGTAAATTATGTTATTTTGTTTAATTGGGTCCACCGAGTCGTTTAGCCTACGGAGATTGTCTCTAAGTGAGTTTGTAGGTTTGAATGCCCCCTCAATTCCTGCTTTATTGAAAATCCTACGTAGGGCCTCAGATGTCTCCTTATGTGGCAAAACTACTCTGGACGCCTTATATTCTCTCTTATTTATGTTATCATTATTAGTTTCACCATTATCCCATATTGATTTTTACTCAAATGTCTAATCATCAATTCTACACATGTATATAAATGAAGTAAAAAGTTGTGTGAGTAACTTGATATGATTATGAGCAATAATTTGTGCTCGAAATGTGGACATCAGTTAATATTTCTGTATGACCACACTTTATGATTTATCAAAATAAAATCTTATCTATAATGGAGTTGTACTCTACCACAGTGCCAGAATTTTATACTTATATCAAAGTGCTTTTAGTAATTTATTTGATACCTGATAAATAATAGCCATAAAGTTAGTAGTAGTACCGAATACTTCAATCAACAGAGAAGCCCATTGCGCTTCGTTTAAAACAACTGGAACTCTGTGTGGAAACGAAACAGGTTCATTCACCATCCATAACTACTAAAGTCATAATTTTCCCGTTATTCAGTTCAGCGTTACACCGACGCATATTATCACTTAGAGAGGCGAACGAAAATTCGAGCAAAGAATATACTTTTCGATAATTTCCTCCTCCGGCTCTACAATTATATATATATATATATATATATATATATATATATATATATATGCCTGTAGTTTTATACACAGAATATTCTAGAATAACCGTCATTAACAATATGGGTGTTTCTTTTAAGTAATATCGATTTGTTAAGATCACAGTGGAATTATCACAGTTCAAGAAAGATGCATAAATTATAATAAGCATAAGAGTGTAATAAATTGAGGATCATTCAAGCCTTGATGGCCAAGAGGGTAAGGAAAGTGTCTGAACCAACCAACTTCTTTTGGATACATAAGTTAGGTTTCTTAATATAGATCCCAACAGCCTCAGTAATATGTAGTAGACGAACTCTTGAAGTAAAATTAAGATTAGTTGGTATGCAGTAGACGACTTTGAAAGCAGCCTTGTTAACATCAATCTTGTGTTCTGCATCCACGAGATGAGACAGTTAAGAACTATAAATGGACTTTGTTTCTCTTTTACTGAACCACTAAGCAGGATGTTTGTGTTCGGAAATCCAACGATAAACACGCTTGATTGTATGGCCTATGCAACTAACTGGCTCACTCAGTCAAATTGTCATAGATTCACATAGAAAGAAGAGGCGAAGTTAGGCAGTTTATCTTTAACTACTCCCGAACGGAAAATAGGAGTGTGGTTTCGAAGACACAGCATACTTCAGCAGCACTGAATGCTCTTTTCACCGCCGTATTTCTTAGGCGTCGTGTTAATATCTCACTGATGTTATCACCACCGAGGAATTAAAGTTGCAAGAACAAGGCCTTCATTCTTCGGAACAGTTGATTGGTACTTTGGTCTGCCTTGACTTGTGATTCATATTTTTATCGATGAGTTTTCCTGGGTAACCTTTCTCACTCAGCATAGGCCTTTGAACTTTAAGCTATCACCATTATTGATTCAATGTCTCTGTTAAAAATTAATGTCGTTAATAAGAATAATTTCTTTCAAGTACTGGTTTGTAGGGATTTGATTGGTTACAGGACTTCATCATGAGATGACATCGGTTAGAGAACCATTGGAAAACAAGCACTGGAGTACTGGACAGCCAACTGTTTCTTCAGCCTAGTTCAGGACTCTTCAGCAGTACGCGCCAGCCTTTCCAATGGCTTGCCCATGAATTCCAACTTTTGCCATTTGACGACATAGCGCAACCACTAGCCAATGTCTTCGGCGAGTATTTGTCCTCACGCCCAATCTGCTAGTGGTCATTGCTATGTCCTGAATTGGCAGGAGTTGGAATTCATGGGCTGGCCATTAAATCGTGTCCCAGTGGCTGATTGATCTACGAGCTAGCTCGCCTTGTAACTAGAAGGTCCTGGGTCCAGAACCCGGTGGGTGCATACCGTTGAAGAGTCCCAAACTAGCCTGACAAAACGCCTGGTTGTTCAGTACTCCAGTGCTAGCTTTCCAATGGTTCATGATGAAATCATGTAACCAATAATTTTTTAATTATTACAGACAAATAACTGTACAGCCTGATAATGAAGAAGTTATCGAAAAGAATATTCTTTCTTCATTATTCCCAATCTTTTACAAATATTTCTTTTTTCTATAACTATTATTTTTATTTTATTTGTTTTATTTTAGAATTCTACAAACTAATGACATCTGAATAAACCGAATTCAATCTTCTTTTTGTAACATACTCTACAAAATGCATGCCGCTATAGCAAGCAAGCAATTTACTTCAACAGCGATATTACCAATCATCACATACCAAAATCCTTTTCCTGTTGAACAGTCAGTAATTATTAGTTTAATTTCAATCGGATTGTATCATTATCACGTGATTTATTGATCGATTGGTTGATTGTCTGCCTGTCTGCCTGACTGACTGAATGACTGTGCTTAATCATGCCCAATAATAATAATACTTCCTACCCTATTTAATCTAGTAATATCGATCACATGTTTTTAAATGTAGTTATTTATAATAATATAATGAATGATTGTGTGTGTGTGTACGTGCCTACGTGCGTGCGTGTGAGTGTATTTTATCCTTGAATTGTTTAGTCATATTTATATTATTACTTCTGTCCTATTTTGCTTGAATTGTTGTTAACACTTTCTGTAAGAAGGTGACTGACCAACTGACCCCTATTCACATTGTATTCTTTCAACGATTCACTTATCATCACTTCTGTATTATTTATTACCAACATGGATGGTTAATAAAGATTCCTTTACAACATTACGCTAAATGGCCTTCTTTTTAGATATTATTATATTTTGATGTGGACGTGTTCTCTGAGCTAGGCGAGGATCTATTTGTGAAGCTTTCATTGACTTGCCACAAGAGATCTTCAGCGCTTAAGAGTAACCTGCATTCACAGATGTTATCCCTTAATTGTATGGATTACATTTATTCTGAAAGTAAATTGTACAGTTAGAATTCAATTGGTGGATGGTGAGTAGCAGTGGAATCCACCAGGACAAAGCGCACTTCGTCCTATTTGAGACTCGTCGACTGGATGTACCCGCATTCCCCAATGAGTGATGATGTCGAAGCATTTGCACAAGAAGCCGACATGTCAACCTGAGACCGAGCACTTCGGTCCAATCAATAAATGGACGGGAAAATCTAAAATTCAATTAAATAGATTGTACAGTAACTAGAAGAACATACGGCTTGAAGCTTCAGCTTCGAATTTTTGGTAGCATTGGTTTTATTTTTACTGAGTTGTGTTACTAGCCTCACGCCTAACCTTCTCTCTGTATGCCGGGCTTACTGCCGACTAAGCAGCGAGGGTTAGGGATGCGTCGTCGATCGGGCCTATAACTCCGGACCACATGCGTGGTTGGTTACAGTATAATTCAGGTCATCAAGAAGCTCCCGAAAATGAAAACTGTCTATTCAAGATTTATTCCAACTCCCGAAAAAGTTGGAGATTGACGATTCCCAAGAATTAGCTAACAAAACATGCTCCATTGGGATCCGGATAGTTTGACAGCTTTTTTAGGAGTTAGTAAGGTCTATTTAAAAAAAGAAGGTTGATTCGGACACTGAAAACACGACTTTCCTGCCTTTAAAAAAGTTTAAAATTTAGATGACATCAGTTAGAGAACCACTGAAAACTAGATATTTGTTTTATCCTGGTGTGAGACTCCCCAATAGTACTTATTCATGATCTCATGGAGAGTAGAACTTGGGACATTCAGGTTACGAGGTTAGGATAACTGATGACGTTTCGAGCAAAAACGTGTTCAAAACAAACTGTTCGAAACGTGTTCATTACTGTATAACACTGTGTGAAACTTTATCAAAATAAAATCTTATCCATAATGGAGTTATACTCTACCAAAGTGCCCAAGTTTTATACCTATATTGCAGCCAGGTTTCACCACAATCCTAACTTGGGAATCACCGGCAGTACACGCCCACCACACTGACAGGATTTGAACCCACGACCTTCCGGTTACAAGGCAAGCGAGCTCCTATACCATTCAGACACTGGGACCCAACTCCTCAATGGCCACAAACCATCAATTCTAACTTCTAACAATTCGTGATGCATCTAGTGCGACTGGCACCAACCAATATCATCGGTGGAAACTACATCCTCACTGGTCACTACTTCTCACTACAACTCCAGGAAACTCTATCCTGTAGGAAGCCACTAGCGAGGATCAGATTAATTTTTTTATGAGTTGATATATAAGGATTATATTTGATGTTACGAGTTTATCCAGTCAAGTCTGAGGATGAATGTCCCACTGACGACATTGGTTGGTGCCAGTCGCGCTAAATGCATCGCGAATTGGTAGAAGTTAGAATTCATGGTCTGTGGCCATTGAGGTGTTGAGTCTCAGTTGCCGGATGGTATAAGAGCTCACTTGTCTTGTAACCGGATGGTCCTGGGTTCAAACCCTGGTGGATGCGTACTGAAGGTGATTCCCAAACTAGGATGGAACAGGTGTCCAGTACTCCGTGGCTGGTTTTCAATGCTTCTCTAACTGATATCAATCCGTGGTCAAACTCGTATCAACAAAACTAATCCTAAAGAACTAACTATAGATAATTATTATATATTATGTCTATTTTATTTCTTTTATATTTTGATTATAACTTGGTTCCACACTGTATTTTTGGTACTAGTATAGAATTCCCAGCATTTGATATCTGTAGCCCAAATTTCGCAGGCCAACTAGTGATATCAAGTGTGCGTCGGTAGGGGATCGAACCCCGAACTATGTGCTTCGTCGGTGAGAGTCCTAACCGCTGTGCCACCGAATCAAATAGTCTGACATCTTCTAAAGCGATAGTCTTTCGCGTCAGTGAATAAGAAGTGGAAATTTCCCATCTCAACTATATTCACAGGTTTAAAAATAAAAATCCCTCCATCTGTGTAACTATAAACTATAATGGCATGTGTCGCTGAAAAGATTTATTAGTAGTATATCAACAGACGTTGATTGCAGCACTAAAATAACAAATAGTAGAGAGAGATTTGAAGCCAAAGAGATCAAATGATTTCGGAACAACAAAGCAGACACGAAACGAGGCCAAAGAAACACACACAATACGAAGGAGGTGCAGAGGTAGCACAACGCGGAATATCTGTGAAAATGACGATCTCTGGAGATAAGGTGGACACAGTGGTTAGGACTCTCGCCTGCCGACGCACACCTGATATCACTGGTCGGCCTGCAAAATTTGGGCTACCAATATCGCATGCTGAAAATTCCATACTTGTATTAAAAATACGGTGTGGTTTCAAGCTATAATCAAAAAAATAAATTAATTTAAAAAAAACTAAAAAAAACTTGGATTTATAGAGAAACATTCCTTAACCAAGTTTCATGTCTTCTACCGTTACCCTACTATTATTCACTCACCTTTCTTTAAAGTACATTTTCATAACAAACACATTCACATTTATGTGAATACTAATAACATTGAGTAAATAGAAAAACCAGTCAGTTAATTGCATACAATATGTGAAATATGTGGCCGTTATCGTTAAGATGATTTACGCAGCAAAATCACTGAATCAGGTATAAGACTAGGGGAAAGGCAACTGGCATATTCACGAAGTGACAGTGATTTTCACCACTTACTGTTGAGTATATATCAAGTTTTGAATGAAGATGGTCTCCTATGAGTGTAACACTGAATGGTAGTCACACCAATAGTCTCAATACATCTCCAATTAGTTGAAACTGTAAACGCATTAGCTATTAAGCACCTGAATTGACTGCACAACTGAACAAATGCATAATAAGTCAGTGGAAATTGGGTTCGCAGCAATAGATTTGCTGTAAATGCAAATTTTAAATTTGATAGTTCACTCTACTGACAAGTAGAGACTAGGTGGCAATGGCGTGACGTCTACGTTTGGTTTGTAAGGATTAGATTTGTTGATACGAGTTGATCACGGATTGATATCAGTTAGAGAAACATTGAAAACCAGTCAAGGAGTACTGCCAGACAGCTGTTTCAGCAGCCTAGTTTGGGAATCATCGACAGTACGCATCCACCCCACTTCCAGGGTTCGAACTCAGGAGCCTCCGGTTACAAGGAAGGCTCGTAGAAGTTAGAATGGCGTATGAACCGAACTCCGGTCACCGGCTGCCAATGGATAGTGGACTCCCTACTCCACTCCTACTGCCTTGTAGGTCACAGTTGGTTGTGTAAAGGCTAGAGCTACACTCTAAAACAAAAGGCCGAGCGATTCTGGAGACATCACTCTTACCGAATTCCCATGAAACTTCATGAACTCTCTTACAAACGCCGCGCCTGGGCAGTGATGATTCGAGATGTTCATGAAGCCGGCTCATCCTCCCGTAGGACATAGCCGAAGTAAAGTAAAAGCAAGTAGGATGAAACAGCTTTCCAGTACTCCAATACTGGTTTTCAATGGTTCTCTAACCGATATCAATCCGTGATCAACTCGTAAAAATAACATTATTATTACTATTTTAAATTTTATGTATGCACATATTTATAAAAGGAGCTAAATTGTTGCAATATGTATAAAAACGCTGAAAATTCCATTCTGTACGATTATTACTGTTGTTTGAAATTAAGCGGTTATTATTATATTTATCATTATTATTGGATCTCCAGGATGTCACTCACTTATGTGAAGTGGATAAGTTTTCCTCACTGTCAACTTGGTTAACACCATTATCTGTTCTTTAAGCCAACTTGAAGTCAATTGGTAGTTGGTGACTAGCAGTGGAATCCAGAATAAAGCGCATTCGTCCTATTTGGGACTGGCTAGTCATCTGGATGTACCTGCAATCCCCAGAAAGTGATGGCGTTTCCCCCAAGGCTCCAGCCCAGTGCCCATAATTTCAAAAGCCAAAGCGTTATCCACTAGAGCACTTGGGCCACAACAGCCACCTTATGCGCAAGGGGTTCAAGCCTTGTTGCAGACACCACCCCTCACTCACTTGGGAATGCAGCTGCATCCATATGACGAGTCATAAATGGGACGAAATGCGCATCCTGGATTCCACTGCTAGTCACCATCCACCACCATTTGGCTTCAAGTTACATGACCAGACATCATGGAAGTATCTGCACAAGGAGTAATCGATATGTCAACCTGAAACCTAGCACCTCAGTCTAATCAATCGACAGGAAAATCTCAATAGAATTAAATAATTTAAG